CATTGTGAGTTCAAGGCCAGTCTGGGCTACAAAAAGAGCTCAAGGCCAGCCTGAACTGCTAGCAAGATCCTGTCTCAAAAGACAAAAAGAAAGAAAAAGCAAGCAAGCAATCCAACAACACGTCCCTCCCCTACAAGTAGTTGGAGGTGGCCCACTGGATTTCTAAGAGCTCAAAGAGGGTGTAAAAACTGCACAGTACAAGGGAATTATGAGTAAGAAGCCAGGAGTTGGTCTCTAATCATAAAAGTATATGTGAAAAAAAAACCTTTTTTTTTTTTTTTTGTGGTACTAGGGATTGAACTTAGGACCTTATGCTTGCCAGGCAGATGCTTATGCCGCTGAGCTTTATTCCCAGCCCCAAAAGTTTTAGGAGCAGGAAGAATTTATTTTATTTTTGTTTTAAGAAGAATTTATTGAGAGGAAAAAAAAAAAAAACCAACAAAACATCTCTGAGGGGGACAGATGGGCACTTTCAGAAAGTGGGTTGCCCACCAATCCCACTTCTCAAGGGTATTTATTGAGCAAAGCCACAAGATGGGGGAGGGTTAAGGTGGGACAGAACTATAACCAGTCAATAAAAAGTTTCCATCTTTTTTTTTTTTTTTGCGGAACCAGTGATTGAACTCAGGCCCTTGCACTTGCCAGGGAAGCGCTTATTCCACTGAGCCATCTCCCCAGCCCCTATATATTAATTTTTTTTTATTTGTGTGTGTGTGTGTGTGTGTGTGTGTGTGTGTGTGTGGCCAGCTCAGCCCACCAGGGGGCGGTGCTGGCTGGCATGTGGTGCTGGGGGATTGAACTGTGGTCCCTGTGCTTTGCTTAGCTTAGCTTGTTCTAAATAGGTGCTTTAGACCACTGAGCCATCTCACCAGCCCTATTAATTTTTCATCTTTCTTTTTTTAATAAAAAGTTTTAATCTACTAATTCCAAGAAGTGTCTCTCTTCCCCTCCCTTCCTTCCTTCCTTTGGGTTGAGACAATTTATCACTATATAGTCTGAGGTGGCCTTTAACTCACTATGTATCTATATTGGTCTCAAACTCACAATTCTCCTGTCATGGCCTCCTGAGTGCTGAGATCACAGGCTCAATTCCCAAACTCAGGACCTTGCACTTGCCGGGCAAGCACTTACTCCACTAAGCTATCTCACCAGCCTCAACTCCCAGAGTATTAAAGCATCACATGGAAGTGAAAGTTTAGGCCTTTCCTGCTGTCTTTTCCTTTCTTCTTTCTCTCTCCCTTTGGCTCTTGGTTAGTAAATTGGGAGAGAAGGAGAAAGACTATGTTAGAGAAAATGATGCTCCTCTCTACAAATCAAGTAGTGAGCTAGCTGTCTCTAGACACATAGGGAAAAGCTTTAGGCTATCACTTAATGACTGCAGGATCTTCTTTTTACTCCATGGGGGGGCCACAGAACTCATGGACCCTGTCTAAATTTTAATTAGGTACATAAAGGATTTACTTCCACAGTACATATTTATTTTTTAAAATTTTTTGTATTTTAGGGAAGGGTCTACAGAGTCTTCAGGGTCTCACTACTAGATTGGACTCGTAGTGATCTGGCTGTTTTACAGCATTCCAAGAGCTGGGATTACAAGGGTGTGCCACCACACCCAGTCTCCACTGTATATAAAGGAATGGCAAAAGATACAGGTTTTAAAAATATTATACCCCTGGGGCTGGTGAGATGGCTCAGTGGTCTAAAGCACCTACTTAGAACAAGCTAAACTAAGCAAAACACAGGGACTGCGGTTCAATCCCCCAGCACCACATGCCAGCCAGCCCCGCCCCCTGGTGGGCTGAGCTGGCCACACACACAAAAATAAATAAATAAAAAATATTATACCCCATGAGACTGGGTGTGGTGGCACACTCCTGTGATCACAGCACTCAGGAGGCTGAGGCAGGAGGATTGTCCTGAGTTTGAGGCAGCCTGGGCTACAATAGTGAGTTCAAGATCAGCCTAAATTACTAGATCCTGTCTCAAAAAAAAAAAAAAAAAAAAAAGATGAAAAAGAAAAAAATAGGGGCTGGGGAGATGGCTCAGTGGAATAAGTGCTTCCCTGGCAAGCGCAAGGGCCTGAGTTCAATTGCCGGGTCCACAAATAAATAAATAAAAAATAACAAAAAAATTGGCGACTTTTTAGTAAAAATAAATCATGATGTTAAGGAATATGATAAAAAAAAAAGAAAAATATATCTTCCAGTAATGGGTTGAGTTTTATAGGAGAAAAAGGTGACTAAATAAAAGAATTGTTTTGAGATGGGAGCTTTGTACTTAAGGCTGGCCTTGAATTTGGGATGATCCTGTTGTCTCAGTTCTTGCCCCCCAGCATTCTGAGATTATGGACATGTGCCACTACACTGGGTTCTGTTTGTTTCTGAGAACCCATATTTTGGGACTAGGAAATATAAAGGCAAGGGAATCCCTGCCCTGGAAACTTCTATCTTGGGTTATGCACCTGGCTATGATTAAGCTTTGAAGCTGTCATACTGTTCCTGTTCTCCAAGCATGTAATCACAGTAAAGCTTCTATTTTGTATGTTTAGTTCGGCCTGGTGGTACATGCCTGTAATCTCAGGAAGGGTGCAAATTCAAGGCCAGCCTGGGCTACAGAGTGAGTTCAAAGCCAGTCTGAACAGTATGATGAGACTGTCTCAAAATACAACAAGGGGCCAGAGAGATGACTCAGTGGAATAATCACTTCCCTGGCAAGCGCAAGGGCCTGAGTTCAATCCCTGGTTCCACAAAAAAAAAAAAAAAAAAGAAAGAAAGAATCCCAGATATATTGTTCTCCTTACTTAGGAGTGCATTACCCAGAACTCTTAGGGGTTGGGGAGATGGCTCAGTAGAATAAGCGCCTGCCTGGCAAGCATAAGGGCCTTACTTCAATCTCTGGTTCTGCAAAAAAAAAAAAAAAAAAAAAAAAAAAAAAAAAAATTGTGCTGTGATTTTAATTGACAGAGACAGTACAGCTGGTATAACTAATCCTATTCATGTCTTGGACACACCCCTGGCACCAGTAGTCTTTTTTCTTTTTTGGTACTGGGGATTGACCTCAGTGTGAGTTAAGATACGAAGACCTTTTCATCTTTTAAATCAGGATCTTGCTAAGTTGCCAGTCAAGCGCTTATCCTACTGAGCCATCTCCCCAGCGCCCTTGCTAAGTTCCATAGGCTGGCCTCTAACTGGTGATCTTTCAGCCTCAGGAGCAGCTGTGATTACAGATATGCACCACCACTCTGACTCATGTAACTGCTTTTTACTGTCTATCCAATTACATGAAAGAAACATGCAGTATGAGACTTGGTGAGTTTGGAACCAGTGTGGGCCTTTGTATGTTCATACAGGATATACAGAAATTATGATATAAAGTTATGATATAAAGTTCATGAACGCTAGCATCTTTTTTTATTATTTATTAACATTTATTTATTGTGTGTGTGTGTGGCCAGCTCAGCCCACCCGGGGCGCAGCTGGGGGATTGAACAAGCTTTGCCAAGCTTGTTCCAAGTAGGTGCTTTAGACCACTGAGCCATCTCTCCAGCCCAACGCTAGCATCTTACTTGCTGATCCTATAGCCTAAGAGCCAGAACACAGTAAGCACTCAATAAGTGTCTATTGCGTGAGCAAATACAAATTGAAATTTGAGTGTGTGTGTTGCTGAAGAGCAAACCCAGCAAGTGCTCAACCACTGAACTACATCCCCAGCCTAGAATTTGAAATTTTAATAGCCTCGGTATGAGTGGGCATTTGGTATTATTTGGTCCTGTTCATTAGAATTATTTACCTTTCTCCTGGGCAGAATGGGAGCCCCACAACACATATATATATATATCTATATCTATAGATATAGATATATATTTTTAAATTTAATTTATTTTTTTGCGGAATTAGGGATTGAACTCAGGCCCTGCGCTTGCCAGGGAAGTGCTTATCCTCTGAGTCATCTCTCCAGCTCCCCCCCAACATATATTCTTACTCAGATTATGCTGGTTCTGTACACATTGTGGACCCCACCCTTCAGTTATGACAGCATCAACTTGGTACATGACACTTAAGTTACAGGTATTTTAGTTTCTCTGATGAAATCTGGGAGCCACCCTGGTCTCTATGATCATCTCACTGGGTGACTTTATTTTTTATAAATCTTGTCCAGACTGTTATGAGGATTTTACATTTTCCAGGTTACTAACTTCCCGCTCAGGCAGGTAGGGGACAACCAAATTGTGATGTTTCAGATTGTTGCAGACCCCCAAAGTTCTTTGTGCAGGTGTGGATCTCTGTGCCCTCAAGGACTCCAAAGGGCGAACACTTTTCTCAGTGGAAGATCTCAAAGCCCTTAACTATCAAAGGAGAGCGACTGGCTGGCTATTGTTCCTACCGTTGTGAGCGTGAGGGGCTGTGTGGGAGGCCTGGGGGGCTGTGCAAGTAAGGACAGACTCAAGTTTAGAAGCTCAGTCAGTCGAGGAAGCCTGTTGCCCTCCACACTTCCGGGTCCCCAGGGCACAGAGCGCTGCGACGGCTCTAAAGGGGGGGTCAGGTCCTGCAGTAATGAGAGGGGGAGTGGGGTGCGGGAAGGGCGCGGGTACATCCCGGCAGCCCTCGATTTAACCTACAAATGGGAGCAGGGAATTATCGCGCAGGCCGGCCTGGCGGCTTCCTCATAAGGTCTCTGTAATCTTCACCCAGAACAGACACCTGGGCTTTTCTGGCCCTCTCCTCAGAGATCAGGCGCGGCCTAAGTCTTTCTGAGTTCCCCTTTATTTCTTTTGTGTTCCCTGCCTGGTTTTCTGCTTCTTCACATCTCTTCAAGCCGCCGAACACCTCCCAGGCCTCCTTCCGGCCCGCTCGGCCGGTGTGTGTGTGGGGGTGATCCTCGCACCCCAACAGCAGCAGCGCCGCGGTAGTCAGCTGGCCCGGGCGCCAGGCGCCCTCCCGCCAGCCCGTCGCGCTCGCCCCGCCCCTCTCGCTTACGTCACGTCCGGCCCGGCCCCGGCCCGCCCTCCGCCCTCCCGCTTGCCGTTAGGGAGGCTCTGCGCCTCAGCCGCTGACTCTATTGCCGCTCCCGCCCCTTCTTTCGCGTCTCCGCCGCCGCCACCGCCGGGGGGAATCCGGGGGTTGCTACCGGGCTGGCCCCGTGCCACAGTCGTCGCTTCAGCCTCCCCTCTACGGCCGCCTCAGGAAGAGGCTCGCCGTTCGTGGAGCCACTTGGGGCTTCCGTTCTCGCCCTCTTGCTGTCGCCGCCGGTCCTGGAGAAACGGCCGCGGCCAGGGGACGGGGCTTCGCGGTTCGAACGGTAGGTAAACGGGCGGGTACCCCGCTCTGCGCATGCGCGGGCTGCCAGTCGCAGCGGCCCTCCCCCTGCTGCAGGTCCCCCAACCCCCCTTCCACCGACGCTGCGTCCCACCCGCGCCGGCTCCGGGGCGCCGCGTCCTGTGGCCTCGATGACGCCGGGCACTGCCCTCCAGGTGGGCATTCAATATACAGAGCCCGCTTTTTGAAGCAGAGATGAGGCCGTGCCCTGCTGCCAGGGGGTGTGGCAGTCTTCGATTTTTCTGCCGCTGCAGTGCGCGTGAGCGTGTGTGCCTCTCTTCCAGCTCCCCCCAAGTAGAAGGCACAACGCCCCTCATTTGCTCGCTGTCCTTTCCTGTCTACCCGCCCTGTGCCACCTCCGAGCCCTATTCGGTCGTGCTGGGCGGTGAAGTTGATGCTGGAAAAAAAAGGCAGTGTGGTTTCTGTTGGGCTCAGATGCGCCCCTTTTTAAGGTCACGTGAGGCAGTGGTTGTTGACTTCCTTAAATTGCACCGAGAATATGGCCAGAATTGGCTTGTTGTTGCACTGGGGCCTCATCTAGAATGTGCTTTGCACAGACCAGCCAGAAGGGTCCCTTTGTACGGCGTTAAGTTTCAGATGGGTTGCCTGGTTTCCATAGATAAGGTTGTAGGAAATCGAATCAGTTAGCTCTCTTGCCCAATGGGAAATTGTCAAATTCCTTTTGTGTATAGTCAGTTAAAACCGAAACGACATGGGCAACGCATTCGGGACCCCTCCTGTCTCTCAGGAGTTGTTCCTATCCCCCGATGTTTTCCTACTCTTAAAAAAAAAACAAACAAAAAACAACCAAGACCACTTTTGGAAAAAGTTCCATGCCTGGCAGGGGCAAAGTTCTGAGTTCAATGCCCCGTACCGCAAAAAAAAAAAAAAAAAAAAGAGAAAGAGAAAAGAAAAACAGTTCCATAATTTCGTTTGGTTACTCATCATATGTTATAATCAGTGAAAAAAGTTGGACAGTGCATACTTTCAAGGAGGTAAGCTAAAAATGGTAGTTGGAGCTATGCAAATGCAGGCATTTAGCATTCCGTAATTGGCGTGTGCTTGCCTTTTGAAGGCAGACATTAAAGGATGATTTTTTTAAAAAAATGTATTTAGTACAGGTCTACAGGATCTCACTACAGAGATCAGATTTTCAGTGATTCTCCTGTTTTTCAGCCTCCCTAGGGCTGGGATTATGGGCGCGGTGCACACCACCACGCCCAGTCTCATGTGCCTTCTCAGCGTGGGGTGGGGGGGTCGGTAGCCACGCGGCAGGCTGGGGGTTCGAATCCCTGAACCCTGCATCTATCTGAGCAGGTGCTTTAACCCGCTGAGCTATCTGGCTGACCCTAAAGGATGATTTTTAATTATTTGAGTTTCTGCTGTTAGGGTTAATGTGAAACTATGTCTTAACCTTCTGCTTTGTAACCTTGAAATACTTGTTGACCAGGGTTTCTCCCAGTGCTAGATACTTGTCCAATAGAGCTGAATGAACTGGTTGTTATTTGTGTATCCGTTAAATACCCTATCTTTATCTTTCTCTCGGTCTCCCTAACCATTAGGGTAATACTTTCAAATCCAGTTTGACTTAGTAATTAGGCGTGTATGTGATACATTTTAAATTCTTTTTAAAAAAATATATTTAGTACAGGTTCTACAGGGCCTCTCTACACAGGTTGGATTCCTAGAGTCCTCCCGATTTCAGCCTCCCAAGCACCGGGATTACAGGTGCTAGACACCACACCCTGGCTCAGTTGCAGTTTCAGTGAGCCCCAGGGCTGGGCTGTGTGGCAAGGCACAATGGGAACTGGGTCCCTCTGCTGAGCTGTCTAGTTGGCCCTTCCATTTTAAATTCTCAAAAGAAGTAGAGGGGCATATCACAGTGGCATAAAATATTTGGAGAGACTGGGTGTGGTGGTGGGCCCCTGTAATTCCAGCTTTTGGGAGGCTGTAAATAAGCGGATCACTACGAGTCGGATCTGGTAGTGAGATCCTAAACACCCTGTAGACTTTTCCCTAAAAAATTAAAAAAAAAAAAATCATTTAGTGCAAAAGACTTTTTTAAATTAAAATGTTATTTTAAGACAAAATGGCTGAAGTGAACTATAGTGACTTGTGTTTGCCTGCCAATAAAATGACAACTGCATTTACAAATAACCTCAATTCAGCTGTACCTGACTCTCCTATTGTACACCAATTTTAAAATTGGGGACCTTAATAGTGTAAGTTACTACAACAGTTACTTAATTTTTTTCCATTCATTGAGTACATCCTTGCTGAATGTTTATTGTTTGCTAGGCCCTGTTTTAGGTTCTAGATATAAGAAAACAACTCTGCTCTTGTGGAGCTTACACTCTGGATTGAGTTGAAATCAGCAGTATGTTCGCATATATCCAACCATACCTACTGGCAAAAAGACACATTTAAATAGTATTATTAATACTAGAACAATAAGCATCCTTAAGTTTGTCTTTCAGCAGTCTTTTTTTTTCTTCTTTTTTTTTCTTTAGAAGTCTTTAAAGCCTAATCAGCAAGTTGTGACTCTGCTATGTCAAAATGGAGTCTGATTGCTGGGCAAAAGGAAACTATTTTAAGGATTTGAGTATGAGGACAACAACATGATGAATTCATGTCTAATCTACCTAGTCTGGTAACAGAACAAGACAGTACATCCACAGTCAGTCCACAGTTTACATTTTTAAAAATAATCTTTTTTATCACCCAGGGGATGTAACCCAGGGCCACATACTGTAGGCAAACATTTTGCCTCTGAACTACACTCCCAGCTCCTCAAGAATTCTTAAAAAATTATGGCAGTCAGCCATTAAAGCACATGCCTGTAATGCCAGCATTCTTTGGGGACTGAGGCAGAAGGCTGGAAACTTAGGGCCTGCCTTGAGTCATGACTGAGATTTTGTCTCAAAACATAAAAAATTGGGAATTTAGAGAAGAATGAAGACCTTGGGTTTGATCCCTAATATTAGAAAAAATTATGTGAAATCATAAAATTTATCATTTTGTTGTGGCAAAATATAATGTGGCATTAATTATTTTAATCTTTTTTTAAAAATATTTTTTTAAATTTTATTTATTTTGTGTGTGTGTGTGTGTGTGTGTGTGGCCAGCTCAGCCCACCAGGGGGCGGGCATGTGGTGCTGGGGGATTGAACCACAGTCTCTGATGCTTTGCCAAGCTTGTTCTAAGTAGGTGCTTTAGACCACTGAGCCATCTCTCCAGCCCTATTTTAATGTTTTAAAAAAACTTTATATATTTGGTTTTTTTTGGAGACAGGGTCTTGCTGTATAGTTCAGGCTGGTATTGAACTCATTATTATGTAACGGACTGCTTTCCAACTTGCAGTGATTCTCCTGCCTCAGCCTCTCTTGGCTAGGATTGCAGGTGTTTGCCACCACACTGGTGATTTTTTTTTTTTTTTTTTTTTTTTTTTTGTTCTTTTGAGACAGGGTTCAGCCTATGCAGTTCAAGCTGGCCTTGAGCTCACTTTGTAGCAAAGGCTGGTCCTGAAATGGCTACAATGCTCTTGCCTTAGCTTCCTAAATACTGGGATTACAGGCATGGTGCCACCACACCCAGTGATTTTAACCTTTTTTTTTTTTTTTTTTTTTTGCGGAACTGGGGATTGAACTCAGATCCTTGTGTTTGCCAGTCAAGTGCTTATCTTACTGAGCCTTCTCCCCGGCCCGATTTTAACCATTTTTTAAAATTCTTGATTTTTCTTTTTTTTTAATTTTTTAATTTTTTAATTTTTTTGTTTATTTATTTTGTGTGTGTATGTGTGGCCAGCTCAGCCCACCAGGGGGTGGGTCTGGCTGGCATGTGGTGCTGGGGGATTGAACCGTGGTCTCTGTGCTTTGCTTAGCTTAGCTTGTTCTAAGTAGGTGCTTTAGACCACTGAGCCATCTCACCAGCCCGATTTTAACCATTTTTAAGAGTACAGTTCAGTGATGCTAAGTATATGTGTGAATTCTGTAACTACCAATGTTCTTTAACTTTACAGCTATTTCATACAGAAATTCTGTACCCATTAGGTTAACTCCTCATTCCCTGCTTTCCCTATCTCCCACAATCTGTTTTTTTTGAATTTATCTTCGTGTAAGTGGAATCATACAGCATTTATTCCTTTGTTTTGGCTTACTTCACTTAGCATAATGTTTTCATAGTACCTTTGTTGTTTGGTGCTGAACATGCAGATTCACCCATATTTTAGGGTATATCAGAATTTCTTATTTTATGTATGTACCACATTTCATTAACCCATTCCTCATTGATGGATGTTTGGGCTGTTTACACCTTTTGGGTATTGTGAATGATGCTGCTGTATGGGTGTGCAAATAAATTCTAAGTTCCTGATTTCTTTTTTCTTTTTCTTTTTTTTTTTGGCGGAACCAAGGATTGAACTCAGACCTTTGCATTTGCCAGGGAAGCACTTATTCTACTGAGTCATCTCCCCACCCCCTCTGATTTCATTTCTTTTGGATATATACTCAAAAGTGGAATTGTTGAATCTTGTGGTAATTTTATGTTTAATACTTTGAGGAACTGCCATACTTTTTTTTCTGTGTAGTTCAGGCTGGCTTTGAACTCACTACTCCAGGCAGGCCTTGAGTGGCAATCTTCCTGCCTTAGACTCCAAGCGCTAGGATTACAGATGTGCACTACCATGTCCGATCCAGTTAAGTCTTACATGAAGACCTAACATTTTTGAAGGTGAATAAAATACTGAAGGTTTTTTAATTTAAAAAAATTATACATTGATAAACAGTGAAGAGGCTGATTTTTTATCTGAAGAGATTGTCTAGGGCTGGCCAAATAGTTCAGTGGATTAAAGCCCAGGCCCAGGCTTAGGGGCCAGGGGTTTGATCCCTGGGCCTACCGTGCCCCCAGGGCGTGCTGAGGCAATTGAGACTGGGCACTGTGGCGCACCCTGTAATCCCAGCTGCTGAGGCTGTAAAACAGGGGGAT